GTTGCTTACTCTCACCCTTTCTCTTTCTCCTGGTGATCGACTGGATTATGAAGACGTCGACGTCTGGAGGGAAGCACGGTATCAAATGGACAGCCAGGATGCAGCTGGTCTATCCAGACTTCTCAGATAATCTGGCTCTTCTATCGCACACGCAACAACAAATGCAAGAGAAGATGACCAGCGAAGCAGCAGGTCTCAACACACACAAAGAGGAAAGCAAGGTTCTACGATGCAACACAACATGCGCGAACCAAGCAACTCTTGATAGAGATGCCTTGGAAGACGTTAAAACCTTGACATATCTGAGTGGAAACAACGAACCAGATTCCAGTGGAGGAGGAAGAAGCGGTGGAACTGAATAGGACACACATTGCGGAAAGCACCGAACTGAGTCACAAGACAAAGCCTCACTTGGAACCCTCAAGATCGAGGGAAATAGTAAGGCCAAGGAACACATGACGCCGAGAAATGAAGAAATACATGAGGAGGATGAACAAAAATTGGAGAGGACTGAAAAGAGAAGCCCGGGACAGAGCAGGATGGAGAATACTGGTCGTTGGCCAATGCCTTACTGGGAATAACAGGCGTAAGTAAGTAAGTCATTATATGGAACGTCCTGCCCGAAAAAGTGGCGTCAGTACTAGCAGTGAACACTTCTAAGAAGAAGCAGAATGCGAATTAAAGAAAGCATGTACAAGCAGTTAGCGATTTTTAGTTTTAAATGTTCATTTACAATGTTGAGGTAGTTCTTTTATGACATCATCATTAAAATAATCTAATGCTCGGCGCTTTCTTCAAGCTACATTTCTGTAATCCTTCAAAGCCTTACGGTACTAGCTTCTTGTCTTGATTATCATTTTATCTTTGTCTTATGCTTGTATTATTTCTACTAAGCGTAAGTACTTTCTATGTGCTCACTTAGTCGCCCGCTCTCCCTCAGCATATAGGGTACCTTATGGCTAAACTCCTAACTTACCAAAGGCTGAAGTTGCACTACGTTTTAGAACGTTTCTGATAGCTATCCAGTGAAGTTAGAGATTATTCTGTAAAATAGTTTCACTTGGACCAATCTGTTTTAAGTGTCTAAATCTTGTTTTTGTGCTCTCCTTTAAACTCTGTCACATTCAGTAAGCCTGTGTGATCTTATGTTGAAGCAAATGTAGAGTAGACTACGTTTTTCTAAGATTGCTAGTACAATCCTTCATGTGTTTCTCTGTACTAGGACATCGGCAAAGCCTTGAAGTAACGATGATTAGCTAACCGTTCAGAAGAATCTGATTCGATTTCATTTTTGGGTGGATAACCGCAAAATGCAGCGCATGGAAGTTTTAAGGGCGTCATTCATTTACCACGTGACCGTGGCCGTCTGAAATATCGAGTTATAATCCGATAGACAAAGTTCACATAGATTTAAATTATGTCTCCTTGTTGTACTCATGTATCCCAAGTTCCTAATTCCTCTTCAGATGGACAGTGTCCAGAGTAGGGTGCAAGTAATCAAAATTATCAATGACCAGCCAAAGTTAAGGAGATCTTAGCAGATTGATTTTCGGTCCTAGATGGTAATAAACCCATTACCGATGAAATTTGATTGAAATTTGGTACACGTTCGCTAGATACTTAAAGATCCTAGGCAAATCGGGGACCGAATCTCGAAACGCATTCACAGTGCCATCAACGTCTCTGATGATCTGACTATTGTTTATCATTATTCTATCATGGCTATATCGATTTTTTCTTTTCGGCCTATAGACATTTTAGCATACAAATTTGCTGTCGTACGATTTAAAAGAAATGTATTATCGATGTTGCTTCTCTCACGAATTATTTTCATCCAGAAGTCTTTCAGTTGTGTGGCTAGTGAATGCTTAAACATGACAAACACCCTCATAACAATCAATTTGCGTATATACTGTTACAAGTACAAAGTTATTTACTGTAGAATTTCAACTTTACTAAATTCATCTTATAGAACAGAGGAGACGATAAGTGATGTAACATGAGCACTCGAAGATCACACGCCTTACCTGCGTGGCGTAAGGTAGTTGTGCCTCTCACCCATCATGCAACACTTGCGTTAAACGTATGACAAGTTTATGATAAAAGTCGTTAATAACATTTCGTGATTTTTCCAATGCCTACACATTAATGTTGCGATACAATAGCACATATAAATGATGCAGCAGATTTTTGGGAATCTGTGTACTCAGTAGTGGCTTGTTCTGACTGGGTACTTTACACTAATGTTAGGGAATTTCCCCCCAAAGTGTCGAAGGAAATTGGATAATTTGACTTTTCTCCTAAGCGTCCGATATCAGGGGGAAAAGTCACCATTTTCTTATTTTCTCCAAGTTTGCCTTTATTCCATTTTTTAGCTGCTTGGGACACTTCGAAACCCAAAGTAGTCCACGTTAATAAAGCAGATACATGCAACATAATGTAAACCATACACGAAGCTCAGTTAATTCCCCTCCGGAGTGATTATTATTTTGAAAGAGATCGGGGTGTTTTGGTATCATATGTTCTAAAATCGTGAGTTAGTTGTGACCAAGCTGCCTCTAAAGCTAACCCTACACTAGCAACTTTGAAGGGTATTTTTTGGTCAGTTTAGTAGGAGAACATTCGATTTAACCTTCATCCATTTCATCCGATCCCAATTGTAGTATGGTTAGTTAGTATAAAATCGTTTGCTCCAAAAGGACAAAATTACTCTTCAGTGTATTCAAAGTTAAACCACAAAATCAGTTTTCAGACCTACGTTCACGCCTTAATCGGAAAGTTTAGCATTTCTGGACCTTTATCCTTTAGACTATTGGTGACACAGTGACTTACGATACCCCAAACGTAGCTAGCTGTTCTCTAGAAAACCTTAATCTCTGTTCGATTAGTAACTTCAAGGTAATTACCTAGCAATCAGGGTTCAACGTAGCTCAACTGTAGGCACACCTAACCGTTTCAAGTAGTTAGGTTGTGAAAACTGACTATCTACTGGAGTGATCCAAACAACCTTTCTTGAGTCCTTCAAATAATTGAGGCCTTATTTCATTCCGATCTGCTAATAATTCTATTAATTTTGTTTTTCTTGAAATCAGTGACTCATTACCACCAGACACGCAAACTTGTTAAGCGGAAGCCTCTTCTGTTTCACTCACAAACATTTGAATCACATGTGTATATTTCAGTCGTTTATACACAATTTACGTTTGGTGTAGCTTTTTTCCCATTTAAGCTCCTGTTTCTCCTTGAAAGTGTTCACTAATAGTGCTGACACCACTTGTTCGAGCAGGACGTTACACTCAATGACTAGTCGATGAGAAATACAGAATCCCTTTTTTAATTTTATTCGAGTGAAGTTTTTCGAACCTGCTTTGTATGGCCTCGGAGATGATTAGTTCTGGAGGGAGCAAAAAAAATAAGACATGGTAACACTTAAATCGCTATTGGAGATACTGAATACGTGTATGAGTTCACCTTGCATTATACAATAAGGCGAGAGGGTTTGGGCGTTTTAAATGCTCATCGTAGGAATGTTTGGAAATACTCGTCACTAACTTAGTTCCCATACACTGAACACGCTCGACCGTGAGTTTTCACATGGATGAGATATAAAACTGGAGACATATCTTCGTCGAAGTCTTTGAATGTTCGGCAAAGTGACCATAACACCCAAAACCTTTAGAGTCTGTTGTATTTGGGTGCTCATTTATCCTGAGGTTCTGACTTGCCATTACTCATAAGTCTTTTTCCCTGCACGCCTAAAAGTTATGCGTCTTTGACATTGTATCGGTAACTAATGCTATGTTTGAAATGCCTAAGCACATTCGAGAATTAATTTCGAAGTTCCAACTATGCCACTAATTTCGTTCAGGTCAGTTTGGAAAGTAGGATGACCAGCCTCATAATGTATTTTCCTCCAAATTTCGACATTTGCTGTCCAGTCCTCTCTCGCAGTTTATAAGTTAAGCATGATTACTTATTCCGAAACCCGTGTTGCTTATTAGTTAACAGATTGTACGATTCCGCTTGACTTATTAGCTTAGTACTAATTGTCTTTCTAAATAACTAGACTGACTGGTCGGTAGTTAGATTCTATATCTCTTGCCTTAGTTTCTTACAGTTTCGGTTGTATGACGGTCCATGTTCGAAGTCAATACGTGTCGACTTTTCAATACTTCGTAAGATAGTTCATATTGTAGTATTTGCCCGAAGTTGAATGCTCTATCCAACTAGTGTGGTGCGTTGAAACCCCCCCCCCCCACAATGACCTAGTGATCATCCTTGCTTCACGCACAGATATAACTCAGGACAAACTCATCTGTCGATCACCAATCTTTTGTTTTACTTTAACTATCTAAAATCCGTTCGAATTGATAAAATCCTTGTCCTTTACTGTGAAATAGCTTAACCTAGCTGGTTCGCAGGTTTTGTTTCATAACCAGAATGATAATTTGTACATGATTTGTTTCAGAATCTGTTATAATGCTGCAGATGCCCTACTATTTATCCTCCTTTAGACCTTGGTTTTCAATATTCTTCCGTACATTTCTTTTTTTTGACTTTGTTTCGTCTATCATTGACGCTGCCATTATATTCCATTCATCCTTTTAGTTTTATCTCACTTGGTCGATGCTCATTTGTTTCAAGCTCCACTTTCATCATAACTGACTGATCCTTAACCAGCAACTTAAGTTTCGGCGGCCAGAAACTATATTCCTTGCACGAAAAGTGTTCCTCTAACAAGTATACGGACTCGTGATTTTTTACTGAGTTGCACTACTATTTTTATTGTTATTTCGTAGAATCTCAATTACTTAGTTGCATGTGACAAATTGTTTGCTAGCTTACTTTCCAGTTTTTTTCTCATGATTTTAAAACTAACGTGTTATTGTAAGATATCCCTATCAAATCTTCACGTTCTTAGCTACGAATTGTGTTGAATCAAATATACTTGGCTTCTGCAAATTTTACAAGCAATAATTCGTTCATAAAGTAGAACCATAATGTCTAATAGTTCTTGCAAAGGTATTTCAATTAATTTCTGTCTTATATTTATGAAGTTGATGTTCTCACATTTTTTAAAAAAGAGAACAGACCTTTTAGTGTGGTTGATGTGTGTAATGTGTTAAAGAGTTATGGGAAGACGGTAACTATACGTGCCCAAATTAAAGAATTCCTAGGGTATTTCCAAAGCTCTGGATGATCTTGTTGAAGAAGGATCAGTCAAGGAGAAGGTTTATGGAAAACAAAAGGTTTATGTGTATGACCAGGTAAACAGAATGAGCCGAATTTCGTTAATTTCCTGTAGACTAAGCTTCCTTCGTTCGACGAAAATGAAATTAAGAAGATGGAGGCTCAAAGTGAGAATTTATCTATTGAATTAGCAGAAGAACAAAAAAAGTTGAAAAGTGTCACCGAGGGTAAGGCATATCACTGCTAAATCTTCTTTTCTGTAGAACTTAAAAAAATCACCTCTACTCTTACAAAGGAAGAAGCAGAGAGAGAGCTCACTCAAGTAAAGGAAAAGGTGAATATTTTCTTTACCAGCTAAGTCCTCTTTTGTGGGTCAAGTAATTTTTAAAGATGGATTGTGCGTGTTTGTTTATAAATGGTTATTAAATTTCAGAGGGCAAAACGAAAAGCCAGTAGTTGGTTTTTTGGCATTCGCTTATCATTCAATTCTGTATTAAGCGATACTAAAAACCTCAACCTTAGCTATGACAGTTGTGTTCTTCTTGTGCCTACCTAAAAGTGAGTTAATTACTCGAACGGTGCTGAAATAACCTTGCATTTGTTCAAACAATATGTCCTATCGACTTTTCTGTCAATAATAAATACCGAATGTTACAAGAGGTGCGTTTAAACCGTATCTCAGTTAAAGTATGTTAGCCACCTAAAAATAACCTCTTGGTTTTTGAAAACCAAATTTTCATTTATTGTATACCTTGTTATGTGAACAATTTTAAACCCTGGCTGTAATATTAGTTGATATTAGTTATCACTCTTGAAATCAAACAAAGAAATGAAGTCAGAGAGACAAGCAGCAAAATATGACTGGCAGAAAAAATTAAACACAAGAGCAAATCGTATGAAATATAATATTTCACAATTTAAGGATGAATAATGAATTCATGTGTTAAGTGGCCGATGATTTAAAACTATATAGTTTGAGGTCTCCAGTTTTTAACCGCAGTTGTCTTAATAGTCCCAGACACAAAATATGGGCTTTTCAAGCAATAGCCACGGATTTTACGGACTGAAATATGTCAGCCTAGTTCTTTATTGAGCACTAGACACGATAGACAATATTTGGGAATCCATATCAAGCCCCAACCACTTTAAGCTCACAGTTTTATCAGTTGATTTACCATTTGTATTTATTTACCGTGTATTTCGATTGTACTCATGCGGTACTTCGGAGCTATCTTCAATCAAATACAAGTCTGTACATGTCTCAAACCCCTAATGTTTTCCATTACTGCTACTACTACTGCCACTACTGGATTTGAACTGGCACTCACATCCCTCTGTGTTAATAAGGTATAGACACTTGAACTGATGTGCGTCCGTACAATTTCTACGTTTTATCTGACTGAAAAATCTCCGAAGGTCATTTTCTAACACCCTGGGGTTAATATAACGCTGCTTTACGCTCACACTTTTATTAACGGTCGAATATATATAACGTTAGTGAACTACTTTTATAGTCGCGCCGAGATTTCATCAACTGACAGTACACCACGGCTTATCAGATTCGAAATTCGGCAAGGAATGAGTCTGTTTTATAAACTATGGCACTTGTCATAAGATACCAAAAAATGTATATGCTAGGATTTCAAAAACTGCTAAACAAGATACTTGTGTTTTCATAAGGTACTCATCACTATAAATTTGGTCCATTTGGAAGGATTAACGTCTTTTCACCGGCACCATGATTGGTTGTCTAGTCTACATGACATTAGTTGCTAAATGATGTTTCTTGAATGCTTGAAAGCCATTGCATTTTCATGTTTTTCACTGATACAGTGGGAGAATAATTATCGGTGTCCTGTCGTAAGTATATCTAATTGATGGATGTTCACCTATAGTAAGTTAAACTTTTCTGATAAATGTCTTACCCACAAAATAATTCTGTAGTTGTTATTAAATCTACAGTCAGTCGGTTTACACAAATGATCTATCAGTCATCCTTAGTGACTAATAATATTGTTATAGACAATCAAATCCATTTTTCAGGTTGCCTTAATTTCCTATTTATCGTTTCTTTAAAGCTCAGCAAAATAGAAATGGAAGTGAAAGCACTTAAAGCTAAGGGACCACAGATTACTGAAGCTGACTTGAAATCGGTTAGTTTTTCATTGACATTTTCTGCAAAATGTTTTAGATAGACTACTCATGTTACTACTGTTATAAAGAATTTAGAATATTTTTGTTTTCAGAAGCTCACTAATATAAACAAGATTTTCTTTTTACCTGGAAACTTATCTAGTGAATGCTGTTGTATTATACTGTTCCAAATCTAGTCAATATTGAAGTACATCGTGCCAGTTTTGTTACGCAGTGCTATCATTCATATAATTATCAATAATTAGAATCATGTCCTCATAGTATTAGCACTTAATAATAACTTCATGTTGTAAATAGTGTCTACTCCAGTTTTTCGATTGTTTGTTTTTTGTGTTGTTATGCTGAAAAAGACTATTTAGCTGTCTAGTTGTGTTTAACCTTCACTGCCAGTTGGTTTGGAAGGTAACTCAGTCTTAATATCAATTAACAGCCAGCATAAGATCTCTGTATTCTATTCTTCTCTAGCAACAGAGACGCACTTATCATAAAAGTCTTGTAGTGGTCTACTGTTATGAATAGAATCCGATTGATGTAATGGAAACACTTATTATAACCAATTGTACCAGTGATTGTTTTAGTGTACCGCTGTTTAACTGTACCAAAAACACTCATCTTCCTATTATTTGTGACCTTGGGCTAGCTCACGCTTACTCGGTAGTTTCGCCTGTAAACTTTAGCACGATCTTGGCATTATTTCGATACCACGAGATCTCCAATAACAATTCCAATCACAACTGTCCTTCTGATATCTGCGTGTGGAGGGATTTAACTAGACTATTGACATTATATTGTTTCAACTCGCAATAGTCCAAAAAGCCTCTCTTGATAGTTCAAAATGAAATATAACTTGATAATCTAATAATATTTGGTTAACACTTGAGATCGAATCAGACATCTTTTTAATACCCTCCGATATATCTGTTTTTAGGCTATTTCGCTCATAGTTCATTCCACCAAGTGCTAATATCTAGTCTGATTTCATTTCACCACACACAAATATTGTATGTTATGTTAACTCTCCACGCTAACCATCGACTCTTTGAAGGATCTCCATAGTCTTGCATGTTGCAGTTCTTTAAAAACTAAATAAATATGAGGTAATTATGGAACCGAGAGTTGCATTCCAAATCAAATCAAGAAAGGACGTAAATACATTCATTTGAAGAATTTTTCGAAATCTAGATTTCGGTTTTTGTTGAGATTTTTGAGATGGTTGTCTGGGTTACCTAAAGCTCTCTGAGGGCCAGAGCTTTCTATTGTAATATTACTTCCCGTATTATGCTGCATTATTTTGTCTACAAGATTTTATGATCACGTATATATATATGGTACTGTCTTACTAGGTCTCTGAAGGTCACACGAAAATGATCAGTGAATGGAGGAAGCGTAAACGTATTGTGAGTTTCGAAACTTTTTAAAATCTATGTATGTCCTTTCATTTGGAGAGTTTAGTAATTGATCAAAAACTTGGTTTTTACTGACGTCTGCTAATAAGGTAATCCCTAAGGTTAAGAAGAAACAATTGATTTCAGTTGCATCAACCGAACTGATGTATTCTATAAAACTCATCCCATCTGGCTCTGAACACGATGTAAAGTGTGGCCAGCTTAAGCGCAGACTGATAAGAAGCCTACGCAATGGTCGCGAACAGTGGTAGGTAGCGAAGGCGAAAGAGATAGAAAAGGCATCGGCTATAAGTAACAGCAGACAACTATTCAGACTTATCAATGAAACTGAAATTTTTGACCAATTTGGTCTCGTGTGCTGTTACGGGTATGAGGGCGGTTGTCACTTCCCGGCTGCCCACACCACGGAAGGTTGTTTCTTGAGAGACCTGAAAAGGAAGATAGATTAGTGTTGGTCTTAGAAACCTGGGAGCGTGACCGCAGAGCCCAAGGGACAACTGCTTGAGGCCGGTCACGCACGGCCTTTTTATGAGAAGTTTTTCGAGTGTTAGCTCCGCACTTGAAAGCCCTTAGTGGGCACCCTTACCCAAGGAGACGGAAATCCGTGAGGTAGGGGAGGTGTGACATTTTTAGGGTCGACCTTTTCTAACCCTTCCTTCCTTGTGAGAAGGCAGCATCGCTGCATATGCTAGTTGTCCGAGGGAAAAACCTTACTGCTGTGACACCCCTCTGCAGTCAGCAGTTCGACTTCGCCCTCAGACCTTTAGTAGCTGCTTTTAGTCTCATCGTTCTCCAATCGACCTGCTTGGCATGGTAGAACCTTCAGGAACATAAGTTCCAGCCGATATAGCTCGGTTGGGTCATGAAGATAGGCAAGCCCGACCACGTCAAGGTAGCAGCTTCGGTTGGGTTTTTTTTTTCTGTAACGATTTAAGTGCCCTAAATATAAAACTACTAAAAAAAGTTGACAAATTTAAATTTTTGATGAACAATTTTGAACAAAAACTATAACTCACTGGTGTAGTCAGCCATTCGATAACAATACCCTGTTGAAGACTTTGCCCATCTGCTTCACTTAGATAACAGGAATACTTTCGATAATTTGTGTTTGTTCCTTACGTTGTCAGTCATATTGAAGTGAATTTGAGTAATAAAACTGTGCATTTAGATTTTTTCGAATTTGTAATTTTAATTTTAAGCTTTTTTAAAGACGCTTGTCGAATCTTTACAATAAGAAGACTTTGATTTATTTTGCTTACAAACGGAGCCAGCTTTTTAGTTGCTTCGAGCCAGTCATTATGTCACAAGTTACCAGACATACAGTTTTCATGATTAAATTATCTTAATCGAAAACTTAAAATCCCTTCATCGATGGGGTAGGTAGAATATTGCATTTTTGGCTACAAACATACAATAATTGTAGTTTTTACCAATTGTTTGTTTTTAGAATATCACTATGTAGTATGTATTGAACGTTCATTATTAAGTGAGTTAAATGCATGTTAACACTAACAGAGTGGATAAATAGTAACTTTGAAATGACATGTACAAGTACAGTTGCTCCATGATTCTATTAATTCCTAATAAATTTTCACTTAAATTATTCATCAAAATATTTTACAATTTTTATGAGATAATCGATGCAAATTATCAGTTTTGAAATTGTCTGAATAATTTAGGACAATAGCTCATGCGTAATTCTTTTCCTTCTTGCTTATTATACGTAAGACAGATTTGTTTCTGATACGAAAATCACCATCTTTGGGTAATCTAAACTTAAAAGAATAGATTTACAATAAATGAATTTCAACTATGCCCAATAATTCCTACTTAAGGTAAAATGTTTATCACAAATAATTGTAACATGGATCAATCAAATATTGACTATATTTCCAATGATATATTTATGAGATTTGTAGACTTACTTCATTCCTGTTATCAAATCTAAACATAATTTTTCAAATGAGTTAGAATATACATAGGTAATCATGAGAACTAAATGGTATTATCTGATGGATACATCTGGTTTATTCTTACTTCCGAGCTGATCATGAAAAAAAGGATGTAATTGTACGACAAGATGTTTCAATTGAAATATGTAATCAGGCTAAACTAAATTATTTAGAATAATTTCAGTTGTATAGGGCTGGACAAAATCTTTGTCGAATCCAGTCGAATAAAATGATATTAATTTGGATAACTAGTTTACACAAACTAGTAAATTGAAATTGTTATGTAATAGAAATTGGTCTAACTCTTCTTTATGTAAGATTATGTCATCTGAATGAATTTAAGAAACGTTTTAAGAGAAACCTCTGAGCTTCTTTTTATTTTTTAAAAATTTTTATTGCTATCAATGCAATCAGCTTTACGCGTCAATAAAGTTCGTCACTAGTGTTATGGAAGGGTATGGTTAATTTAAATGTCCAACTATATTAACATTTTGAATACAATTTTGTTCAGAATTTATATAACTCTGATTGATCTAGGGATTTTGCGCGACCTCACCAGTTTGTCTGTGGTAGTTACTGCCTACAACCGACAGGGTTGAACTCCACTGGTCATGTCTACTCACTAGAACTCCGAGAATTTCCTCGCGAAGCTGGTCACTAGTGAGCATATTTTACGATATTTTCAAATAGAGTTATGGAGATTAGTGTTTTTACACATTTGAAATCATCAATCAGTCATTGTTAGACCACCATTAGAAACCTGGAAGTACTGGACCAGCGTTTCGTCCTGGTATGGGCAGTAACTGCCAGAGGCAAATGGGTGAGTTCGCGTAAAATTCCTAGATCAATCAGAGTTAAACATTAATACCGTTGGATGCCGGCCCAGAGGTCTAGAGTTTAGGTGTTCGCGCAGAAGACCGAAGATCGTGGGGTGTAGGAGTCACTTTTTTTCCCCAAAGTATTCGTTTTCAGGATTAATAATAAAAAGTTGAATGTAAGATGTAACATTATGGTATACAAAGACATGTACTTAAAATTGACTAGGTGTTAACTAAGTGTTAGTCATCTAAGTTAGGAATATTCACGAGTGAAGTATAATTTAGTGGAACAAATATTCGATAATATTCAATAGTCTACTAAATCAAATGTTTTGTTCAACCAGGACTAATATCCAAGGCCTAAACTTTAACAGGATACCTTGGAATCATGTATGAATCATTGTCGGACCACCATTAGAAACCTAGAAGTACTGGATGGCCGTTTCTTCCTGGTGTCGGACTCATCAGCGTAGCGCATCCACAACTCTTGTTACTCGCAGGGTTCGCACCCAGGCCTTTGGACCGCTGAGCCGGTATCTAACGGTGTAAATGTTTAACACTGATTAATCTAAGGATTTTGAGCAACCTCACAGAATAACAACTGAATGTTCTCTCTTGAACAATTGTATGCTTCAGTTCAGGTACGTCTCAGGCTTTATAATTATTATTATTAACTCTATTTTATAGTGAGGAAAGCTAATTTATAGTTATTAATTATCTGTAATTTAATATCATATTTTCCGCCCAAAATTTCCTTATATGTTTAATGAAAAAAAACAAGAGTTTGTGTTATGAATAGTCAAATTAAACTTTTTGAAGTTTATTTATTGCCTCATCATCAAAATATCTATTTTTCAAGATTTTTTTTCTTCTGGTAAAAGCTAATGTAAATCTAAATCGCTACTAGTTCACTATAAAATATCGTTCTTTTCTTAATCCTATTCTGAATATATTAGGCAAATAAGTTAAATTTATAAGGACATTTAGTTGCATTTCTTCTAAATAGACTTCTTTGTCATAATTTAGTTAATGACTTTTAACCTTCTTCATACGATTATTTCAATTTGTTACTGAATATTTTCCACTGCTAACCTCACGATAACTGAATAACTTGCCACTGCACAACTTTCAGATCCCTATTTTGGTTCATTTTTTGATTCTAAAAACTTACAAGTGCTATTGTGAACTCATAATATTCTACAACAAAACAAGCTAGTTGTTTGTTTCTGAAAACAACCAACTGATACGTCACATCCTTATTGATTAACCTGAAATGGTGTAATTTCTGTTTGGTAAGGACAGAATTCTGGAAGCCTGTGTTAATTTTGGTGATCTGGTTCTCTAGGTTGATTCACATCCTTTCAGAGTGTCAGTCTTAAAGAAGCTGTAAACGCCTGTTGAGTAAGGGTTAGCTGACAAATGGTTGGCTCTAAGTTTGTGTACCTATCTACGTAACCGAATAACTATATTACTCTGAATGCCTAGTTATAAGTGATGAAAAGTCATTGTCAAGTAAGTTAAAGTCTGTGAATTAGTTGCCTCGAGTCCAGTATGATATAAATAGGAGATTTAGTTTATATAGTCTCTCGTCATACAGGAGTTTTGAGAATTGAGAGCTTCATTCATTTGAAGTTTCTCAATCTCATTTCAACAGTTTAGTTTATAATGAAACTAACTGTTTTTTTTATACAATACTCTAGTCTTAAAGTAAACGAAAACTGTATTCAAGTTATACATGCTTTGATATCCAAGTTACTGTAAGCTCCACGTTTTATTCTAAATATACTGAAGTCTCTGGTAACCACTGCTTTATGTATGCAGTTCGTTTAGAATTTTTACTGATAAAAATACTTTGATAACTGACAAGAAGTATTTCAATGTTATCACTATTTGTATTTTGACAGATTTATTTCGCCATGCACTTAATAGCATTTGATTAGGATTTGATAATTATCAGATCGTTTTGTTAGTTGACAAAGAATTTTTCAAGTCACTTTACTCTCCCTTTCATTTTCGACCACGTTTTATTTTCATATCATAAGACATACTACTACATAACATGTTACAATCATAAGAATGATGATTTAACAAAGATTAACGTGTGTTAATAAATTTAGGTAATCGTAAAACAATATATATTGTAAAACAGTCAATGAATAACATTTGTACAACATATGTGTCGTGAATGAAATGAATGTCGATACAAAACATCTTACACTCACTCATAGAATATAACAATTTTAAACAGCTGTGAATCAATAAATTGAAGTAATTTTTCATAATTCATAATATGACTGTCTAATTATGAACTTTGGAATTATTTTCAAAATTTTCAATGTTCTTATCAATGAATAGTTATGTTTCATTATTTTAATTAAAATTTACTTTTCAAAATAAATATTATGCACAAATAAAATTATTATTGTCAAATATTTCAATGAATTAATTCACAATTGACAATAGAATGGTGTGTTATAAACAACAACAAAAAAAGTCATGATTATTTTGATGAAATTTTGTTTTGATCATTTACTAGTCGTTAACAATTTTGATAAAATTTTGTTATCTGAAATATCCTAAATCATGATTTTCATTAAATAATACATTCAATTTTAGGATTAAAGTGACTTCATGCAAATCGAATACACTGTCTAACATATATATATATATATATATATATATATATATATATACTGTATATACATTTATTTTTAAGACCAAAAATGAATGAAAGTTTAACTGGTCTATTTTATTAACCTGGAGATATTAGTTAATGAATGTTTTGTTCTTAAAGATCATTATTTTTATGCATAACGAGCCGGAATAAAGAATGTCCGCTTTTCTTCAATCAAAACATAATGGATCTTTGTGTATCAAGTTGTAACAATTAATTTGATATGTGAAACCTTAGATAATGTTTAAAGGAGTTTAGATTAACCACTTCGGAATCCTTGAATTATAAATTTCTAACCAATGAATGTTTATCTATTAACAAAACAGTTTACTGCACATTTAAATCACCAATCAATCGTTGTCAGACCATCATTAGAAACCTGGAAGTATTGGACGGCGTTTCGTACCGGTATTGGACTCATCAGCAGTGTGCGCCCACGAATCCTGCACCTCACGGGATTCGAACCCAGGACCTTCAGTCATGAGCGCGAACGCCTAACCTCTGGATCACTGAGCCGACATTCAACGGTGTTAATGTCTAACTCTGACCAATCTACAGATTTCGCGCGACGTCGCTTATTTGTCTTTGATAGTTACTGCCTACACCCAACAGAGTTGAACTCCACTGGACGAAACGGTCGTCCAGTGCTTCCAGGTATCTAATGATGGTCTAAAAATGATTGACTGATCATTTCAATGTGCAGAAAATAATAATCTCCATAACTCCAATTGAAAAAGAGAACAGTTTTCATCATGAAAGTGTTATTAGTCTGTAATCGCTAGACATTTGATTAATTGTAGTATTAAACTCTGAAACCATGGAAAAACATCTATACAAAATGTTTATGTTTCTCTATGAGAACGCACTTTTCAGACTACTGAATCTGACTTATCGTGCAAGGTGGCTTAAGGTTTTTGGCATTACTTGACACTTATTTTACGGTTTGTAAATTCTTGCATATTGTCTTTCATTATTCTTTCCTTGTCTTTTGAAAAATGATTTATTTGTGTTATTGATAGTGCTGAAGGCAGCCATTAAATTACATGATGTTGAACTGATGAACTTTAGTGGATAAAAATTCACCAATTAACATGTTCTTGTCAAATCTTTCGGATTGGAAGAACAAAACGAAATGTTCTAGTTCACCCATGGGACCTCATTCCCAAACATTTGAAATTAAAAGATCCGTGTATTCTCAACAACTATCATCTACTTGACGAACACCATGTTAGTGTTTCAAAATCATTCGAAACAAATTATGCCCCTCCGTAACTTTGGAAATACTTAGTTTCGTCAAGACCATAGTTGTTAAAAGATTTGAACTGAACCTGAGTATTAAAAAGGATAAAGCTATAAATTTTTCACTGACTGGTAACTTTTCAGTTTCATTATTAAGCTGGGTCATAAGTTGAATGTGTTCTGGCTTACAAATTCCTTTCCTTCTTTTTTTCCTATCACTTGATTCAGTTTTACTTATTTGTCTCCTCTGTTAATCTGTCTAATTTTAAGCTGGTTATCACTCGACCTTTCACATTAATTTCATTCAAATTTTTCTATAAACGTGTCTTTCTGTGAATTTGAAAACTTCACTCTAAGGATTCTCACTTCTGCTATCATATTAATACTTAACCTCGATAACATTTCACAATTCTTTAATATCTGGTATCATTTATTTTATTAGCAAACATCAAGGATTTATTTTGGGGCAGAGTTTTGGAGGTTTGTGTTTTTTTTTTACACATTTGAAATCATCAGTCAATCATGGTTGAGATCGCGCAAAATACCTAGATCAATCAGAGTTTGACATTAACACCGTTGGAT